ATTGATCCAGAGAGATTAGGAAGCTACCCAAGGTCACACAGCTAGGGATGGCTGAAGCAGGAATCATACCCAGTTGCAAGGAATACTGTTGTCCTCTCTTTGACATGGTCTTTCTCTCTCTTCCTTCTTGTAGACACATCTAGAAGGGTACGTTCAGAAGCCCCTATCTTTGGGAGGGGGTCCTCTAACTCAAAAGACCCAGAAAAGGCTGGAATAGCAGGAGGCAGAGTAGTGAGAGGAAGCCAGCACCTCGAGGCTGGCTGGGAGGCTCTTTAGGCTTCAAGAAGAGCTGCATAGGGTCCCACTGGCCCCGCTCCCTGGAGAAGGAAAACAGCAAACTTTTCAAGGAATATTCCCATTTGGGGCATGAAGAGGGTGCACTGGGCAGGAACACCGCTTGATTAGATCCCTCAAGACCCCAGTGATGCTTGCTGGAGGACGGCAACAGGAAAAGGAAGAGGCCCCCATCTGGACAATGAAACAGGGACACAGGAAGAAAAGGGAGTAACAAAATGATAATAGTAAACTCTTAGTCTTTTAAGCACTTGATAGGGACTAATTTAATCATGACAATAAGCTATAGGGCCTGTTACTGTTAATCCCAGTGCATGATCAGATGTTATAGAATTGTTACAACTACTATTTGTAATACCAATAATATTATTATCGCTGCAGATTACAGACGAGGACACTGAGGCCCAGAAAGGGCAAGTAACTCACTCACAGTCACACAACTGATTAGTCTTAAGCCCAATCTGGCTTCAGAGTTCATGCTCTTAACCATGTCACTTTGTAGCAAACCCCAGAGAACATTTCCAAGCAAAATTTAGTCTGAGTTGAGTCCACTTTGATTTAATGCCATAATTTTCACCTTTGACATTTTCCTTTCCGTTCACAGTTTGCAGCATGTTTTGCCTCCATCCTTCTGAATCTCAGCCCTGCCATGCGCTTGGCTTCATTACTAGCTAAGCCTCAGTTTTCCCACCTGTAAAGTGGGGACAACGGTACCTGTGAGGAGGAGGGCTGAAGCCCTAGGCCACGCCATCCTAAGCACTCAATACCGTGTTTGCAGCTAATGTGGTGATGATCGATACCTCACTAGAACTCCATAACAACAGCATGAGGTAAGGAAGCTTTTCTATCCTCATTTCTCAGATATGGAAACTAGCACTCACAGAAGGGAAATAACTAGCCAGAGTGTGGAAACACCAGTCTCGGAAAATGTTCCAACTCCAAGCTGCTGCCCTGCTCCCAACCTCCACTCTCTTCCCCAGGAGGCACTGCTATAGGAAGCAGGTCATTCTTCAAACAGGACTGTGGGATTTTGAGACCATTGGAAGTAGAGGCTCAAAGAGAAACTCGGAGGAATTATATTAAGAAAGTTTACAAGGTGGAAATGGGTACCGATGTCATGACAAATGAGCAGCATCCCCCAGCAGCTGCCGAGGGGGAGACGGAACCAAGGTCACACACTGTGATGAGCTGTGCTGTCCCCAGAAGCCACAGTGGCTTGGCCATGGGTATGTGGTGGGGTGTCCCCGGGCTCGGAAGTGAAGGAAAACAAAAGTGTTTTCCTCCATCTCTGTCTAAAGCAGTGGTTTTCAATCTTTTTCATCTCAGGGCACACATAAACTAATTACTAAAATTCTGCAGCACACCAAAAAATATATTGTATGTTTTGCCGATCTGACAGAAATATATATATAATTTTGATTCATTCGCACAGGACAACTATTGTTGTGTTGGCTGTGGACAGTCTAATGAAAAAGAGGTCAGTGCCCCTGGTATTGCGTGGTTGTTTTTGTGTTTGTTTGTTTTTTTCTCCAGATCAATGCTTTTGTTTAGTGCAGGATTTATCAGAGCCTTTATTATAAAAACTAGGGGTCCCGTGCATGAAAATTCATGCACTGGAGGGGGGGGGATCCCTCAGCCTGGCCTGCCCCTCTCACAGTCCAGGAGCCTTCAGGGGCGGGAGGCAACCTGGCAATAAGGGGAAGGCAACGCTCCCATCACACCTCTGCTGCTGCCACTGCCGGCAGCACAAGCCGCAGCTGGCCCTGGTTACCTGAGCCTCAGGCAGCCCTGGGTGGCTGGGCAGCTGTTACCCGAGGCTTGCCTGCATCTTGGGCCAACCCTGGGAAGCTGGGGGCTAAGGGGCTTGAGGGACTCTGGAGGTAGGCGGGCCTGGCCTTGCTATGCACCTGCCACCCTGGCAGGTCTCAGGGGTCTGGGTGACACCATCTTGTGGTGATGGGCATCACCATCTTTGAGGGCATGGCAGTCAATTAGCATATTCCCTCCTTATTGGCTGTGGGAGCCATCTTTGAGAATGAGGCAGTCAATTAGCATATTCCCTTAGTATTCGCTGTAGGTGCTGCCATCTTTTGTGACAGTGTGAGGGTCAATTAGCATATTCCATCTTTATTAGATAGAATGTACACATTGGAGCAGGATTACACATGAGCATTAAAAAAATTTTAAATTCTTGAATCCTTATTTAGCAAATTGTTAATGAATCCCACTAAGAGCCAGGCATTGTGTCAGGAAGCCATAAAACAACAGAAAAGACAGATTCCTCATGGGGTTTACAGGGAACTATCCCTTCGGTTATGTACAGCTTTTGTTAACAGCTAAAAAGACAGAGACACCAACTACTGTGAAGTCCCCCACAGAACCTAGCACCTGCTGTGAGCCATAGGAGCCCCACAATAGTCTCAGAATTTAACTTAAACAATGAAATGTTCCTTTAAAATGTGTGCGCTTTTCTCTAATTAGATGATATTCTACTTCTGCCCACAAGGTGGAGATCTTGCTTACAGTTTACCCAAGCTGAAAGCAAAGAATTCAAAAAAAAAAAAAAAAAAAAAGGAAAAAAGCAAGCAAGCAAGCAAGAAAAAAATTCTCAGCGGAAGCTAATCAAAAAGTCAAAAAATTAAAATTGAACGCATTGAGCCTCTCTCCGGTGTAATATACCATGTTAGGTGTTGAGAAAAATAGAAAGTTGATAAGACATAGTCCCTGCCCTCTAGGGAAAGTTAGGGGTAAGGAGCTGCACAGAGCAGGAAGACAGGACCCATATGGGAGCAGCAGCAATCTCATCATCGTCAGATAAGATCTATGAAAAGGCAATGATATAGCCACAATGTGGTGCAGAACAGATACAGTAAAGATCAATATGGAAATACCTGGGAGCCTAGCGGGTCACTGCTGGAAGGCCCTCCGTGTGGTCAGATGCCTCTGCTCAGCTACAAAATGAGGGTGTGTTCCCAGAGCATTATTCATTCTTTGGTGAATAAAGTACACGCAGTGTGCGCTGATGACCCGCGTGTGCATTTGATGGGGATAAAAAGAGAGAAAAGAAATACAGGTAAGAAAACAAATTTAAAACTGCTTTCAGGAGGTGGGTTCCATCCCCATCAGGAAGCATGAGCCTTACCTGGGAATTGGGGTTTGGATCTGGGACACATGCTGGCACAGAGAGGGAAGGAATGACCTCCATTCTTACCTAAGACTTTTCCTGGTGGATTGAGCTCAAAGGTGTCCGGAAGACAATGTGATCTGTTGTCTCCTTATTTGTTTTCTTAGTCTTTGCACCTCCATTCCCTCCTCCAACCCCCCCCCCCCTACCCTTTAAACCGTTATACCATTAAGTAAAATGCAATATGGGGATTTTTTTTTTTGTTGAACTGAAAAATCACATTTTGGGAATACAGTGATTGGCTAAATGAGAGAGAGAGAGAGAGAGAGAGAGAGAGAGAGAGAGAGAGAGAGAGAGCAACTTGATACAAATATGGAACTTGTTTGATGGAGGGAAAATCAAGCTCGGGCTGCCAGGAGACCCAAGCTAGAATTTCAGTTTCTCCACTTGCTAACTGTGAGATCTTGAGCAAACACCATCCCTGCTTTGTGCCTATTTTCTCACAGAATAGTATCATTTCCTTAGAGAAATCGTCCTGGACACACACACTCCCACCTCCCGCCCTAGGTCTAATCCTGGGCCATCATGCTCTCATAGCAACTTGAACGCCCCCACCTAGAATGTAATATAAACTCCATGAGCCCAGGGATCCCGATCTGTGCATTTCACGGAGACCAGAACCCAGGGCAGACCCTGTGGCATGGATGGGGGAATGAATGGAGCTGACCTAAATGCTCCATGGGCACACACACACACACACACACCACACACACACACACACACACACACAAAGGCAGAGCGACCCACCTCACAGCACAGTGGCCGGTGGAGGTGAGCGCGCTCGGGGAGAGTGGCTGTGGGTCCGAAGCTGTTGGCTATAAATGGTTCTCCCACCCTCTGGAGTCACATCCTCCCAGGCTCGGAGAAATTCCCAGAGGTTTACATAAGGCTGAGTGAATCACACCCTCTGTAATGGAGAAGGCAAGGGGACCCGCCCTGATCCTGGTTCGAAGTCTGGAGGAGGACAGGCCCTGCTGGAGCCAGGACACCCCGCGACCACTCCAACCCCCCCCCCCCCCCCCCCCCGCAAGGGCCGGGGCGCGTCCCTCCCACCCGGCCGGACTCCAGCTCAGCGCCGCCCCCTCCTCCACCCCCGCCCCCGCGCGGGCCCTCCGGCCCGGCTTCCTCCCCGCCCCTCGGTCCCCAATCCAGCGCGGGGCTGCCTCTCGGCAGAAGCCATCGCCGCTTTAAGGGGAGCGGAGGGGAAGGGGGCGGGGAAGTGGGGGGCGGGAGCGGCGGCGGCGGAGGGGGAGGGGGATCCCCCGCGCCCACGTGGTCCGGACGCCTGTGAATCGCGCCCGCCGGAGGGTCTCACAGCGAAATACAAAAGCAGCTGGGAAGCGGCGGCGCGGCCAGTTCCCAGCGCCGGGGAGGCTCCGCTCCGCTCCGCACCGCCCCGCGGCCGCGATGGGGCTGCAGCGCCCGCAGCCCGGGAGCCGAGCCGCCGCCGGGCCCGCCTCGCCCTCGCCGCCGGGACCCGGGCGCCCGGGCTGGTCGTCCTGAAGCGGCGGCGGGAAGCAGCATGGGCAGGAGGATGCGGGGCGCCGCCGCCTCCGCGGGGCTCTGGCTGCTGGCGCTGGGCTCGCTGCTGGCGCTGTGGGGCCGGCTCCTGGCGCCGCCCGAACACCGGACCCCGCGGCGCCCGGAGTCCGCGCCCGGCTCCCCGCAGCGGGACCCCCGGGGCGCCTCCCTGAAAACTTTCCGGACGCTGCTCACCTTGGCGGCCGGCGCGGACGGTCCCGCTGCCCGGCGGCGGCCCCCGGGGGCGGAGCGCAGGCGGCGGGTGCCCGACGGGGTGCCCGGCCCGGAGGGGGAACAGCTCGTCGCGGTGCACGGGGGCGTCTTCTGGAGCCGCGGCCTGGAGGAGCAGGTGCCCCGCGGCTTCTCGGAGGCGCAGGCGGCGGCGTGGCTGCAGGAGGCGCGGGGCGCCCGGGTGGTGGCCCTGGAGCGCGGCGAGTGCGGGCGCAGCTCCAACCGCCTGGCGCGCTTCGCCGACGGCACCCGCGCCTGCGTGCGCTACGGCATCAACCCCGAGCAGATCCAGGGCGAGGCCCTGTCCTACTACCTGGCGTGCCTGCTGGGCCTCCGGCGCCACGTGCCGCCGCTGGCACTGGCCCGAGTAGAGGCCCGGGGCGCGCAGTGGACGCGGGTGCAGGAGGAGCTCCGGGCGGCGCACTGGGCGGAGGGCAGCGTGGTGAGCCTGACGCGCTGGCTGCCCAACCTCACGGACGTGGTGGTGCCCGCGCCCTGGCGCTCCGAGGACGGCCAGCTGCGGCCCCTGCGCGCCGCAGGGGGCGAGCTGGCCAACCGCAGCCGGGAGGAGCTGGTGGACCTGGTGCAGTGGACCGACCTGATCCTCTTTGACTACCTGACGGCCAACTTCGACCGGCTGGTCAGCAACCTCTTCAGCCTGCAGTGGGACCCGCGCGTCATGCAGCGCGCCACCAGCAACCTGCACCGCGGCCCCGGCGGGGCGCTGGTCTTCCTGGACAACGAGGCGGGCCTGGTGCACGGCTACCGGGTGGCGGGCATGTGGGACAAGTACAACGAGCCGCTGCTGCAGTCCGTGTGCGTGTTCCGGGAGCGGACAGCCAGGCGCGTCCTGGAGCTGCACCGGGGCCGGGACGCGGCCGCCCGGCTGCTGCGCCTCTACCGGCACCACGAGCCTCGCTTCCCGGAGCTGGCGGAGCTCGCCCAGCCCCACGCTCAGCTGCTACAGCGCCGCCTGGACTTCCTTGCCAAGCACATTTTGCACTGTAAGGCCAAGTACGGCCGCAGACCTGGGACTTAGCATCAATCACCCCGAGGAAGAGAGAGGGGAGAGAGAAACCTTCTGGCTGGGGGGAATGGATGCTGGGGGAGGGGCTTGTCGCCTCTGCCACCGCCTGGGACCCGTCAGCCAACGCCCTGCCAGTGGCTGGAGCAAGAAGGCTGCTAAAAAAAACTTCATTTTCAGCCACCTGCCCCTTTCTCTCAGTTTCAAGCTGTTTCCTTGCAAAGTTCTGGGAGAGCTCCCCCAGGTGAGACGTGTGACACCCCCTCCACCCAGCCTGTGAAAGAATGCTCTCCTGGGGGCAGCGGGGAGTTGGGATCGGAAGAAGCTGGCTGCTGAGTTTGACCCTCCGGTGGCTGTCTCTGTGGGAGATGCATCCTCTTCCTCGACCTGCTCCTCCCCGCCTTTTCCCAAAAAGGGAAACTTCTCTTTGAGCCTTGGAGCTCATTCTTTCTGCAGTTTCCTACCAAACACAGCGCGCCGGGCGGCCAGAGGCGGCCGTGACATTGGCTGGTGGAGCCCCCTCCCTGTGTTCTCCCTTTGTTCCAGCTGGTGATGGTGAGATCACTGTTAAGAGCTGGGGAACGGATCCGGATAAGACAAAGAGAGCAGGACCTCCACCCAGGACCTGGGGAGTCCTGCAGACTCTTTGCAACTGACTTGTTCTTGACCGCTTTTCGGTTTTTGGCCGGAAGGCTGCAGATGTGGGACTGGCTGTCTGTGTGCACTGAGTCACAGAATGCATTTCGCCCCCTTCCTCCCCGCCCCCCCCCCCCCAATCGACCAAAATTTTGACAATGATGATGTTCACCAGAAGAAGAAGAAAAAGAAATCAGTTTCTTGCACTTTACTTTGTTTCTATTTTAATTTTGTATTGAGGGGGGAAAAAACCTTTTTTATTTGACAAGATTTGCCTACTATGTATATAGGTGATAAAGTGTGGTGTAAATATACTAAACAAACTTATATTTCAATAAAAGGGAGTTTAAAATTTAGAATGGAATTCCTGATGGTTTTAACGGTTGGAGGTAGCTGATGCCCTGTCCGGTTTTAGAATGAGTTTTAGGGTTTCTCCTTTAAGGATGTGCTTTTTAAACCCCAGTTGTGACTATGGCACTTCTAGAATTGAACAAAGACAAGAACAGATTCCCTGTTCTGCTCACTCAGATGAACCCTAGTTTTGGAAATTTAAGGTTTCAGCATAGCCTGTGGGGAAAGATGTAGAGAGAGGAAAAGTATTCTATTTCCTGGCAAATAAAACTTTGATATAAAGGGATTTCACTGTAATATATTCCTATATTAATCATGTGGCAACTATGATAGAACCAGATGTGCATGCTACAATATGACAAATCCCCCCTTTATAAACTTAACTACAGGGGTCACATGTTGCACATTGTTTTCAGCGTCGTAATTACCGTGTATCCCAACGTGTACCCATAATAAGCTGAACACATTGCGAACAGGTAGAGAAAGTCATAAATTAATTCTCCTCTTTAATCTCCTGGCATAAATTCCACTGCGTCCAGATCATAATCTCCAACATCTGGACTCCGCATCCAGCTCTGTGAAGAGAGTGTGCTGTTTATTTTTCTAGGTGGTAATAGCACGGTCCCCTCGGAGCAGCTATGGCGAGACCGTGAAAAAAGTGTGCAGTGCCTTGTGTTTGACATTTGGGCTTGGCTTCTTGGGGACTTGAAATTTAGAAATTCATTTTTGGATTGGCTTAAACTTCTTTTGACCCCTGGAGGAGGGGAAAGGTGGCTCTTTGTGTTACAGCCCATTGGTGGTTTATCTTGGCATTTTATTGGATGTCTGGGTCCATGCGATCTTGCCTCTGATCTTTTTTTATGTAAAGACCTTTAACTCAAAAGTAAACCTTTGTTTTTACTGTGAAATGTTTTCTTTGACTAGTATTTATAAACCTGGAGTTTTATAGACTCCTGAAGATATTAAATTTCTGTAGGTTCCCTCCTCACTCTGCGTGGCAACACCGCTTGTAACTTAACTACACGCGGTGTTGTGCCTTATGCTAAGCCAAATCTTATCTGTGCCTTATGCTAAGCCAAATCTTATCTCAACAGAAAAAAAAATAGAATCCATAAACTTTGTAGTGATAGCCAATTTTTTGTTTCACTATATAGCCACCATGTACTGGTAATGACAAATATATCTTTTTTCAATACAACGTTAGAGAGAGGCCTCCAATAATTACCTTTCAAAAAGAAACATTTTCCATTTCTGATAACCAATGAATAACTCTCCGAGATTTGCTGCCTGAGTCCACGGAGGCTGCTCCAAGAAAGGGTAACTATTGAGCAACCTGCATTTTTACCAGGCATGGTCATCGAGGGAAACAATGACCAGAGATAAGTCCGAAGTTTCACAGATTGTGCAGGAAATACACCCTGACTCCCCATCTCATTTCTGCGCTGGTGAGTTCTGGGCCAACAGCATTCTCCACATTCCTCCTCAGCTTCAGCTCCAAGCCCAGACTTGACCGTGGGTGACCCAGAACAAGAAACTGAGCATAATTTAAATGACTTCTTAGATTCTGCAGTGAACCGTATTTGCCTGTTGGAGAGTAAGTTTAATTACAAGGTGGGGTTGTTAAGGGAACCAAGACTTAATTACAGAGAACAGGTTTTAACTTGCTTGTTCTTCGTGGAGAATTGGCAGGCTGTGGGACAGAAAGATCAATTAGAGTTTTGCCATGGTCAGTGGATGCTGCTAGGGTCAAATCATTTTGCAGGTGAAGGGGGTGGGGGGGGAGCTTCCAGACTGCAGCGTGATGTGGAAATAGTAATGGGTTCTGCAGAAACTATATTCTGAATTCTGCCCCTCACCTATTTACTTTCAGCAAAGTCATTTAACCTAGTTTCCTCGTCTACGAAATGGAGATTCGATCAGAGTAGGGTGGGATTTAAATGCTAACATATAAAACATAAGGGCACCTCATAAGTACTTAAAAAAAAAAAAAAACAACTCACTTCTTATTTCTCTTTAACAAAATTCTTGCCCTTCTTACACTTCAGTACACTTTGACGAATAATTCTCATCATCAAAACTAAATGTAGCAGTTTTTAAAGTCAGGTTCAGTTTTTGAAGTGTGACAATAAATTAATTCAACACATTGAGCCTCCCTTCTCCCCCCCCCTCCCAATCTAGCACTATGGAAAGCCCTGGATCACAAGGTCAAAGGCACGGGTTTGGCCTCGACATGGGCTTGGGTGGGTCTGTATCAGGATCTAAAGCAGACTCTGCACCAGGGAGTTAGATGACAAATATATGCGGCGGTTTTATTAAAAGTAGATAACTCCTTGCAAATTCATCACCACTTCTGGAAAGCATCAAAAGGTGATGAATCTTTGCAAGAAGAACAGTCCTCCCAATTCCTTCTGCCAAGAGAAAGTAGGCAGTTGACCTTTTCTCCGTGGATTTGACTGTTGATTAATTCACATTGTCAGTGACATAGTTCTAAACTCTATTAAGATACTTGCCCTCCTGAATCAGGAAGCAAAACTAATTATTCTAGCACATCTCAACACTTCTCAACCTTCTGCCCACGACGGCGGCTAGCAGAGCTCTGAGGCTGAGAGGTTGATTATATGGATTAAACGAGTAAATATTTGTGATATCCTCAGAACAGGGCCTGGCACATAGTATATGCAATGGATGTGCTTGTTTATTTTATTTTAAAATATATATATTTTATTGATTTTTTTACAGAGAGAAAGGGAGAGGGATAGAGAGCTAGAAACAGCGATCAGCTGCCTCTTACACACCCCTGGGTGCCCACAACCATTGTACATGCCCTTGACTGGAATCAAACCTGGGACCCTTCAGCCCACAGACCAACGCTCTATCCCCTGAGCAAAACCGGTTTCAACGTAAGTGCTTTTTTATTGGCGGGGCAGATACTTTCCTCCTCTAAGTCAAAACCAGAGGCACTTATGAAGGATCCTCTTTCATAATCCTGCCGTATCTCTGCAGTCACAGAAGACTCTACCTGCTTCGATTTTGGCCCAGGAAGACACATTCCTGAGTCTGGCAGGAATTATCTAAAGCCCACAATTGTCAGCTGGTTGCCTCCTTCCTAAGAATGACCTCAATATGCATTCCCTTTTTCACAGGGAGGCTGTGATTCTATTCTGTATCTCATCAGCTTCTTACGAATCTCACCAGTGGTGGAATTTGCATTTTTTGAGTTACCCAATAGTCCGGGAAGATCCGAACCTGGGCACTCATTACTTGTCTCTCCACATATCTGTCCCAACCCACAGAACCTCTATTCCATGTGGTATAAGGTCTGAAAGGGCAGTAGAGGAGGGAAGGGAATCCACTTGGATTGCTCCAGAAGGGAATAGAAAGCTGCCAAGGTGTTCTGGAAACCACAAGGCACAGTTGACACCCAACTGCAAGCGTATGCTGATCATTAGAGGATATTGGGAGTCAAGAGACCCGGGACACGCCTGACTCATGTGTTTCTTGGCAAAGTCATTTCCCCTGTGTGGCTCCCAGTGTCTTACCTGGAACGGGAGGTGTTTGATTTGACTGGTAACTTTCCAGTTTCTTGTTTGATTATTGGTTTTTCTACCAGAACTCACAATAAGTCAAAGACTTTATATTGTGACCCAGCACGGACACACACACACACATACACACACACTCATACGGCTGACATCAAAGTTTCTCAAGGCAGTATATGCAACACACATTTCCATATTTGATTCCATTTTTTATTCTCTTCCTTCTCTTCCTCTACTTCCCATTGCCAGGTGTGACCCTCTGAACTGATCTCAAGTCATCAGTGCTACTCAGTCTACACTGCGCAAAACATGAGCCATCGCTTTCTGTCTGACCTGACCACGTGTGAGCAAGTAGTGCTGTTGTGGGCCTTGGGAGGGGAAACCATTCTTTGAATCTCTGCCTCAGGGTGGCCCAAAGACAACTCAAGAGGACAGTTCCTTTTCTGTGCACTCATAAAGATCAGAGGTAACAATCATAATTTTTTTTAT